GAACATTCCGAAATTCCACTTGCAAATTTCCGAGCATTTTCGAAAACAACATGTGTTTATACGTGAAAAAAATGTAAATAAACATTGGAAACCGAAACAAACAAACCAATGTTTGGAAACAAAGCGAAATTTCAAAATTTTCGAAATTCTACTTGCAGATTTTCGAAAATTTTTGAAAATAAAGTGTATTTACATCATAAAAACGTTGTAAACCAAAACAAACAATCCGCTGTTTGCAAACGGAGCGGAATTTCAAAATTGTCGAAATTCTTCCATAAATATATACAATATACAATATGTATGTATGTATGTATGTATGTATGAAGGGGATATAAAAAATTGGAGAAATGGAGGCAAACCTCTTGAGAAGTTGACGATTGTAAGACGCTACACGAATAAATGAAACTCGATGAATATTCGATCGGTCCGATCTTCAACGTAAGAAAAAGAGAGGAAGGGAGCATGGATCAATAACCATACTGTGAGCCGTGATCGGCTCTGTTAATTTCTGATCGCGTGATCCGTCGCCTTAATTAACTCTCAACCAAGTCTCTCCCTGATCTCATGATATATGCCTCGTGTCTTCTTTAATTGAATCCAGTCCGGCTAGCTCCTCCTCTCCGATAACACGCTGCTGGTTGTTATTGTTCTCATTGTTCTTACGTAATACTTCTTTAGCTTTATGCCGAGACGATTGCCTGGGATATTCTTTTCTCTACACTGAAAAGACGACGCGCGTTTTGCCTCTGTTCATGTATTAAATAAAGTTCTCTGGTGGAGTTGCGCAGTACGTTCTGAAATAAAATTGTATGCGAAGGAAATCGAAAACTTGGATCCCGAGTTGTTTCCCGAGGAAATTATTTTTAACAGTTAGTCTAACTAAACTTTCTTTTCGTCTTCAGCCAGTGTGAGTGAGAAACTTGAATTGATCTATTTTGAAAAAATATTTCCTCGCATCGTCGGACACAGTTCGAGATGAATAATTTAAATGCCCTCACTCACAAACGAAACCAGCCTGGATATACGTAATTGCGTGTTTGATAAAAATTGGTGATCTCCGAGAGACGAGTCGGCGGGTCGACGGTCCTGCAGCAAGGCTGATTATACTCTCGGCATGATAACAAGTTTGAAACTTCTCGTGTTTTAATCAAAGAGAATTACAAGAGAAACTCTCTCTCTCTCTCTCTCTCTCTCTCGAATTATTTCGCGATTATTCATTTAGTCAGTTCGATCGTGAATGGGGAAAAAGGCCCCGAACGGTAGTCGAAGTCGTCGACTTAAAAGGAGCATCGCCGAGGCAGGAAACATTTTTCATTTCAGTGGAGAGAGAATCGCGGCGGGCACGGCCAGGAAGTTGCTTCTTTCTTCCTCTCCCGACAATAGTGACGAGCTCACTATTGCGATGGGAATCCAACGGGCTCCTGTTCATTCGAGAGCGATTGCTTCGGATGTTCTTCAACGAACCGGCGGTCTATCTAATTATAAAGTTAAATTAAATATTGATACGCCGGTGTTCTTGGTTGGCCTCGTCGAACAAGCTTTGTCTCATGTCTTATGGGCTCCTCTCTGCGATCTCTCTCTCTCTCTCTCTCTCTCTCTCTCGATTCCGGACGTCGTAATTTTATTCTTTTCGAACCGATTAATCCTCTTACTGCTCCGCGGTAACGGTGATCAGCCATTTGCTGCAGGTATTCGCCGTGTACGAGCATTATGATCATGCGATACATTGGCGTTTCTCTGATATTTTGGTATCTTTTCGTTTTAAACGCTGCATCTGTAATGTTCTTTCTTTCGAATCAACTATAATATTTAGCTGAGTATTTGTTCCATGTTACAATTCACTGCGACTACTGCGAAAGACATTTCCTTTTTATTCATTTGCTTTTCAATTTCTGAATCTTTCGATACCATATAGTTTGATCTTTTTTGATTATTCTGCAGTAAGATATTGTTGAATATTTACCATATACAGGTATTATGATTATGTGATGAAATTTTTGATATTTTCATATTTTTCCTTTTCTTGGGGGGGGGGGGGGAATACTCTTATAATTTGACGATTTTCGTACTCTCTTTATTGACCACTGTAATCAACCATTGCTAAGTATTTACTATGCATTACAATTAATTGCGAACTCCGAAAGAAATTTAATATATTTTCAAATTCTGAATTTGCAATTTCAATTTTTTCATCTTTTTGCTATCATCACTAATATTTTTACTATGGCGATTCAACGAAATTTGGAATTATTTTAGTATTTCAACTTTTTAAACTCTACGTAGTTAATTCTATTTCTTGGTCTGAGTAGCTTGATCCTTCTCATAAAACCGTGGGGAATTTTATACACATGCAGGAAGTTTAAATTCACAGCGTTGCGCACGATACGCGGAAACATGTAAAATATTAAAGATAAAAGTATTAAAAACGTTTTTGCGTACGTTCTACTTCGTCAATTGCATTTATTACACGTCGCTGAATAAATTCGACGAAATTTGCAACTTTTGTTTAATACTTCTGGTCTGAACGTTGAATTTCATTTCCTCTATTTTTTATTGTCTTCGCGTACGCTCTCGTACGATCGGTCGCAAATCTTTTTTAAACGCGATTGAAATTGTTGGAACGTGATCGTCCGCGTGTGTTTCTACACGTTCGTGGAGCACCGAGTGGTAGTTGACCGGATCTCGATCGTAATTGGACCGTGAGTGTAAATCGAGTTTTAATATAGCCCAGAGACAATGAACCTTGAAGCTCGCTTGCAGTCGATTGCTAAGAATTATTCCCTCTTCCTTTCTCGCGCGAGAAAGACACGCGTGTATCACTATTATTATTGACTGGAATTACACTCGAGCCACCGAAATGGTCGAAAATAATTTTTTTACCTACATCACATAGACAGATTTATTTTAAAATAATCTTTCTAGACAGATGTATCTTTATTTTATAATACGTAAAGATAGATATATTTCGTGATGATCCAAGTTTGCAGATTTTACTATGTTACAATCCTTTCGAGTAATTTTTATAATACATGTGAGTGGAAAATTGCGTCCCTTGTCGTATTGTAAACTTCTTTTTCATTTCTTTCATACGATTTTTATATTCTAGTCGACGACAAATATATGTTCCAAATGCCAATGTTCAGCGATGCTGGTGAAGAAGTCGATCGAAATGAATTACGAACGCCGCGTTGATCCTCGATGGATTAAAACCCATTCTTCTACTCTAATTGTCAAAATTTTCATTCGGTTTGACGCTCTCGTTCGTCGTTAATGGCACGGTAAAACTCTCTTTAGTTTACACCGAGGCCCCTTAAACAGAGTGGCGGGTGGTAATATACCAGTGGCCGGTTCATTAACACGAAACGAACATTCCCAGCGAGAAGTTTAAATTATCTAAATCTCATGTCAGAGCCCGCGAATTAGCCGCGGCTTTATTGTAATCCCCGCGAGCTTAGCCAGCCATGTTTCAATCCACCCCCTCCTCTCCCATTAATTCCGCGATTTTTCAGCAGTTTCGTATCCGCTCGTCGGAATTAATCTTCGAAATGAAGATGGAACAAAAGCGGAAGCCAATTGCCGCGAGTCCCGCGGCGAACTGCGAAACGCGGTTAACGTCGCGGAATCCTTTTTTGCGCGCGCGCGCGCGGTTCCCTGTAAACGTTAAAAAAAAAAAGGAAGAAAAAAAATACTTCAATCCCGGGGTAACGTTCAATGAGATTATCTGTAGCGGATTTTTTTTTTTTTTTCGAATGAACGCGATAAATCGGGGGATGAACGCACGAAAAGATTAAACGTCTGCGATGTATTTCGCTTTTTCTCCTGCGTTTTATTCTCTCTCTCTCTCTCTCTCTCTCTCTCTCTCTCTGTTTCTCTTTTATTATTATTATTACTATTACTATTACTACTACTATTATTATTATTGATATTATTAAAGAGATTATTTGTAGGTTGTGGTTGGTTTGTGGGAGTTTTGTCGAAACGTACGTAGTACGAAAGTGTAGACGTTATTGGAGATATGAATTAATTATGGTTAATTTCGAGTACATTGTAAAAATTGATTTTGTTCATGTGAAACAGAAGAGTAATCGCGGAATCCGTGGTATAACAGTCGCGAAATAATAGTATATTAGTGTTCGACAATAATTATTTATTCTAAATAAACGGGAAGAATCTCCCTCTTTTTTTTCTATAGAAAACTGAGTCATCGAGATGAAAACTCGATATATTATAATTTATACAAATGTAATTAAATTCTCGTTTTGGGGCAGCAAGTCTTGCTGGAAAAAGATTTAATTTTACTAAATAGTCCGTCCATTTCGTTATACGATACATATTATTATATTGTATTATTATTTATATACTGATATAATTCAATTATCTTTATAATGATAGAAGATAATTCAATTATAATCTAATTATATTCACGCTGCATTGATATTTGAGTTCCAAATGTTTGCGTTTATAAATCAAATTAAATTAAACAAAATATATATTTATCTACCTACAAATTAAGACTGTATCATTGAAATATTCAATATGCTTACAAACAGGCGCGAAAATCTTCCTATTCTTAAATAAATAATATCGTCCCACAGAATTGAAAGACCTGGCGCACAAAGTGTTAATATATACGTGTAATATATATTACATTATGAATAATTATCTATGAAATATGAATATTGTTATCTATGAACATTATTATAAATATTATCATAAATATTATATCTATGAATATTATTATAAATATTATCTAAATATAATATTATCTATAAATTATGAAAATAATTATCTATGAATTATAAATATATAATAACAAATATCTATGAATTTTAATATATTTATATTGTGACTAATTATCTACGAATTATAATGTATACGAATACAACAATATGTTACGGTGACAATAACAAGAACGTGTCACGATCTAAAAAATGGCCTGGCGAGGAAAAAAAAGATGTAATACGATGTAAAACGCGTGGACGTGTTGTGTCGTGTTGCAGAGCCTGGAGGAGCGCGAACGCAAGCACGCGGTGCACAAGGAGCAGCTGTCTCGCGAGCAGAGGTTCCTCAGGCGTCGGCTGGAGCAGCTGACGAACCAGACGGGCCTGCACGGGTTGCACGGCCTCCACGGCCTCCATGGGTTAAGCTCGAGCGCCCCGACCGGCTCCTCCTGTGGTCCTGGAGCAGCCGCCGCCGCCGCCGCCGCGGCCCTACTCTCAAAACGGCGCAGCGTGTCCGAGTGCTCACTCGGCACTGCCTCGTCCACCAGCTCCACGGCCAGCTCCAGGAACTCCGACAGGTCTGCAGGCAGTCCCTCCGTCTCGGAGTCTGGTGAGTCTTTCACTTCCTCTATTGCTTGCTGGTGGTCTCTACTTCGAAAGATCGCGCTTGACGCTCGACGATAGAACATACCTCGCGGCGTGGATACTTTTTTTTGGGGGCGGGCGGGGGGGGGGAGGAGGAGGGAGCGGTATTATTATACGCTTGATAGTGAATAAATTTTATTACCGTTGAATAATTTTATCTAAATGTAGATGTAGATATTCTAACTCTAATGGCCGAAGATATCTCAATTTGAAGTAACGTGCCGAAGTTCGTCAATTTTGATTTGTTCCATTTAGAATCGGAGGTGGGGAGGGAGCGCTATTATTGTACGCTTGATAGTGAATAAATTTTATTACCGTTGAATAATTTTATCTAAATGTAGATGTAGATATTCTAACTCTAATGGCCGAAGATATCTTAATTTAAAGTTAAATACGTGCCGAAGTTCGTCAATTTTGCCATTTAGAATCGAGAAACACAACGACAACAATCGTTAAAACCCCCGATCAGACTCTCGATCAAACAAGGAACATTATTGGCTCGGCTTGGCAACTTTCTTTCTGGTTACACACACAGAGAGAGAGAGTGTTCCCCTGTTCATTTAAATATCGTCTGTTTACAAGCCACGCTGACGATCAGGGCGATCGCGTAGCATCCGAGAGACCCGCGCAAAATTCCACCGAGCGCAAGCTATTTCGCGGAGGAAGTTGAACCCTTTGCATATCAATATTTAATTTAACTTTGTAATTAGCTGGGGGCCTCCTGTGTATTCGTTTAAGAACACGTAAATCGATGGTTCTCGGGTGTTTGTGGAGGAACGGTGGGGACCTTCTTCGCTTTGAAACCAGGCTTACATGTCGTTTACATTGAACGAAAGAATGAATTTTTGCTCCCTTCTTTCTTTTTAGTCTTTTGTCCTGTTTGACGAAAAGAGAGTTGGATGTTGTACTTGAAGAATAGAATGATTATGAGAGTAATATATTGACACGGTTTACAGATGTAGTTGAAAGTCAAGAACACTATCGATACAATTTTCATACATCGACATTTAATTCCTTCTTGCGTGAAGTATGCCTGTGAAACGGTACATTGAAAATAAATAATACAGTTGAAATGAAAAGAGAAGTTGAAGCGAGGCAGAGACTGTTATAAAGAAGAGAAATTAATAGACATTAACAGAGATTGAAAGTAATTAAATGTTCCAACAGTTAGCAATCGAAGATTTGAGTATAGTGTATTGATACATTTTAATTTATTTGATTCTGTGATGACTGAAAGTTGGAAATTCCAGTGATGATGACTATTTTATATAAACACATCATCTTATTTGACACGATGTTATTTATAATACAATAACAATGATGTAATATTACTACAGTAACTTACTATAATTATTTGTTTGGTCCATTTATATACGAAAAGAAAGAAGAAAAGATGCAAAATGTGAAAACGATCATCGAGTTTCAAATGTATATACTTTTTAATTATATTTTCAACGTTGGTGAATCAATTTGATTGATTTGTGCACGGAGTATTAATAAAATACTACGCTCTTTTTATCAAAAAAAAAAAAAAAAAAAGGAAAAAAAAATAGAACTCGAGAAACTAAATGCACGGGGTCACAAATTGCGAGGTCTTTCGCCGCGACGTTTGACGAAACCGCGAGAGCTGAAGAGAGCGTGGAGGAGATCGGAATCATTTTTACGGGCTCTCAGCAGAATCGTTGCGTATTACCGTGAGTTCGTCCCAGCAACGTCGAGTGAGGAACCGGCTGAGTCAGCAGTCCGTTAGCAAACTTCCGGCTCGTTCTCCGCCGCTTATGAAGTTCTGCTACGTAAGGTGGAGGCCACCGAAGTTGGAGGCCGGCCGATAAAAACTTGTGCACGCGACGACAACGTGTTCCTGTTGTGCGCGATCGACCAACCGGCCGGTCTCTTTCGTTTCTCCGACCTTGCTTTTGTCCGCCGTTTTCCCACACAAAATCCACTAACATTCGTCGCGAAATTTTGAAATTTTTCATCCACAAAGTGCTCTACGTGCTCCCATTCAGCGAAACTATAGTCTAAATTCTTTTCGTAGTATCTTCTAAACAACTTTAATGTTTTCAAAGAGTACAGAGAATATTTATTAAAAGTCAGTAGAAGCTATTCAAACACTATAACGAGGGGGCCTATAATTTAGGTACGTAGAGGGGTTACGTTTCGAATGTTCGAAGGTTATCTCCATCTTTTTTCTCCAACGGAATAATATGTTTCTCATCCACTGCACGACTATGCACTCGACATTCTCTCGTAAGAAAGTTAATTAATTTCATCGTCTCCAGGAAATTCATTTATCCTACGATCTACCATAATTATAATTTAACTGTCTACCATAATTATAATTCAACTGTCTGTATGATTTAATTTCTCATCGATGGTTCTTGACACAGCGAAACGAAATATAATTCTCACCGATTAGCCAAATTTAAAGCGAAATCGCGTCGCGAGCGTCAACAACGTTTTTCTCAGAAAATCTCGTATTTATTCGTCTCGAATCTCGCAAGGTTTCAGAATATCCACCGAAATTCTTCCCAGTGTCCGACAATAGAACCGAGGAGTAATTCTGCCAGAGTTTTCTATAAATATCACTGGCAAGTCCAATGCCAGCAACGAACGATCCTCTCGCGCGTTAAACGACTGCTTGGCGATTCTCGGGTTGGTTCGACGTTGGTCTCCGTCGTCTCTGTACGCGTCCCGAGGGTGGAAAATAACCGGCATTCATCCTCTATCTGGTCGCGGTGTTTACGAGTCTGGCTGCCGCGGAAAGATACAGCCAGCCGTCCCCCCTATCGAGAGTTCTGCATCCGATTTCAATCTGCGGGCCGCGGCGCGAACGTAACTCGCGCGAGAGATCGAATCGAAATGATAAGCCGACCCGAGCCGAACGTTTTTAAACTTGCCACTATTCGTTTCCTCCTTCCCCTTTTCTTCTTCTTCTTCTTCTTCTTCTTCTTCTCGTTCTTCGTCCCTCATCCCTTATTTTTCTTACACATTTCTCGGTCATCGTTCCTTTCGACGTAGGTGTTCCTACGTCGCGAACCACCCTCGCCTGAAATATTACAGTCGCCGTATAAATTAGACCAACGATCATCGATTTCTTATATCTCGACTCGAGCCATACGCTGCGTGCATCGTTTGTGAATTTCGACATCGCTCGGTGATGTAACGCGGGTGGAACTAATTGGCGAGTCTGGAACTTCGTTGCTTGCTCGGAGACGATGTTTCGCCGTGAGCTTGGAAATTCGAATGTCTCCGAATCGAACTCTGGAAACAGTGTTAATTGATTCGACGTATTCCGGCTAGCACTCTGAAACGAAAACGCAGGGTACATCGGGAATTTCTGAAAAGTCGTAATACAAATACACAACGTGAAAAAGAACATGTACGCGTACGCTCGAAACGCAGAGTTAAATTTTCCGATTCATTTGGAAAATCGGCACGTAACAGAACGTAGGTGATAATAAATCTGTGACAATACAGTTGTGATAAATTTCTACAAGATAAACACAATATAATAAGGTAATCAGAAATTATTTATAATATTGTAATATATATGATATATATATATATATATTATATAATATATAATATAAAATAAATATTATAATATAATATAATATAATATAAATTATAATATTAAATATTAATAATATCATAATATAATATAATATAATATAAATTATAATATTAAATATTAATAATATCATAATATAATATAATATAAATATTATATAATATTAAATATTAATAATATTATAATATAATATAAATAGTATATAGTATTATAATTATAATATAATATTATATATAATGTTTATAATCAGAAATTATTTATAAGTGATTATCAGAAATCATTTGTATCGCGGTACGAAAATCGGTTAAAGAATAAATAATAAAGCGACCGCGGAAACGCAATCTAGTTTAACGCGCAGCATTGTTCGTGCACAAAATAGCAAAGTGACAAAATATCTTTGATTGAACGAAACGAACGTCAAACAGTGTGGAATTTCCTCCGGCCGGATGATCGTCTGTCCCCGACGAGTCTCTCGTGTGGCGTTCGAATTTCGAAACGAGCGGAAACCGCGAAAACGCGTTCACGCTCTCCGCGGAAAACGGATCGCACGGTCGAAGGAGGTTAATGAACTGCGGGAACGTTGCGTGCCAGTGGCCTGCCCGGCAAGATAACGCTAATAAGACGCGGAATAGCGGCAGCTGAATTATCACTGGGAATAATGGAAGCTCCTTTCGCGGAAACGCGTCGACAGGATCGGGTTTCAGCCCCCTTATCACTCGGAAATCGAACACGAAACGGGCTTCGAACAAACAGGCTACTCGAATCCGTGCGTCGAATATATTATAGACCGACGTGCGCGGGCGCGCGCGCGTGCAACTCTGTGTAACTGTGTATAACGTTTTCTTCGGAACAATGGCTGGTGACAATGCAGCGATAAAGAAGTTTCTTTTTATTTTATTCTCGCTTGCGAATGTTCTATTCTCTACTTCCAAGACAAGCTTGAACTGAATGAGGTGTCAGACTACGCGATGAAGTTAGTTTTAACACACACACAGGCATATAGTGTGCACATATATATTCCATCTATTGGAAAAATGAACGTGGTTACTTTATATATATATGTGTGTGTGTTATATATATATATATATATACGTCCATCTATTGAAAAAATGAACGTAGTTACTTTTTGGCCAATCCAACAGAGCAAAACCAACAACTTTCAACAAAACGACGTTCAACTGAATCTCATCTCTCGAAATCCTTAGTAACATCATCCCCTTTCGCTGAGAATCTGAAAATCATTCAAGAGACACAACGCCTCCACCTGCCGCACAACCCCCCCACTATCTCCCAATCTGTTGTCGCAAATTTTCTCTTCGACGGTGCACGCTGCAGCGGAAGAGTTGTTGATGGCATCGAGCACCCGCTCCCGCCCCCCGCCGCTCCGTGCA